ATAAAATATATATATATATATATATATATATATATATATATATAAATAAATATATATATATCAAGCCCATTTTCTATTCTCTCTGGCATTTAAAATTAAACAGGCTGTTTGCTACTGTACCTTTAAAACCAAAACCTTTTGATTAAATGAGTAATTGTGCCTTTGCCTTTGGTATAAAATGCAGAATTAAATACTATTGATATATACATTTGGGTGGTCAAATGTTAATTTATTGACAATTTCTCAGTTGCTTTTGTAGTGTTTTTTTATAGACTGGGGGAGGGGGATTTTGATTTTGAATGAATGGTAGAGCTCTTTTTCTTTTCAAAAGAGCAAAGCAAATCCATTTAACAAAGGTACACATATATGAATGTTTACAAATCTATCTAGAATATGGTAGTGGGAAGACCATGGAAATCTCTGTGCCTTTCAGATGGAAATGCTGATTTCTCTCTTTGCCCTCATATGTGATTTTCCATGCCAGTTTTTTTTTCCTCTGGAAAACTGAATGAATGTGAGGTTTCTTCTGTTGAGTCTTAAACTATAAGCCTGCTGTGTTTCAGAATTACCAACAGATGTTATCAAACACTCAGTGATCCAAAGATTAACTGTGCGCTTTTAAATCTTTGTGATGGTTTTTAATATGCCCAAAAAGGTTTTGTATGCAAAACACATCGGATTCAAGACAGGGCTTTGAAAGTCATGCAATAGCTCTGTATAAGGAATAAATCATCACACCATAGCTCGTCCCAAGAAATACGACATAGGTTTGACATCATTAATGATAAGTCATGAGACATGTAAGAACAAATGACATGTGGTAGGGACTGGGTATTGACATAAATTTCACGATTCAATTCCGATTCACAAGCTTGCGATTCGATTAAGTTCTGATCTAGATTTGATTTGATATTGATTCATTTGGATGTATCAGGTACTGTACAATTTTTCTCAAACAAAATACAAATCTCTCTCAAATACTGCTGTAAATCAGGGATCCTCAAATCTGACCCACGAGATCCACTTTCCTGCAGAGTTTAGCTCTAACCCTAATCAAACACACCTGAGCATGTTAATCAATTTCTTCAGGATCATTAGAAAATCACAGGATGAATCACGAACGCTGTTGCCTAGCGTCCATCTTGCAAATCTCCGCTCTCTACCCAACAAAACAGACAAACTTCTTCTGCTCTCCCGGACAAACAAGGATTTTTCAAACTCTGCTGCTCTGTGTTTCACGGAAACCTGGCTGAATGACGCCATTCCGGACAGCGTGCTACATCTGCCGGGCTTTCAGCTGTTCAGAGCGGACCATGACACAGAATCAACGGGGAAATCGCGCGGGCGGCGGGACATGTTTCTACATCAACGAAAGGTGGTGTACAGATGTAACAGTGTTAAAGAAGATGTGCTGTTCCGATCTAGAAGTGCTCTTCATGAACTGTAAACCGTTCTATTCGCCGCGGGAGTTCCACTCGTTCATTCTCGTGAGTATTTACATTCCACCGCAAGCGCACGTGAGCCTGGCTTTACAGAAACTCGCTGATCAGATCACAGACACAGAGCAACAACACCCAGACTCTGTTATAATCATTTTTGGGGACTTTAATAAAGCAAATCTTTCCAGTGAACTGCCAAAATACAGACAGCATGTTACATGTCCCACCAGAGACAGCAATATATTGGATCATTGTTACACCACAATAACGGAGGCATATCACTCTGTCCCACGAGCAGCTTTGGGGCTCTCTGATCACTGTTTAGGGAGTTTATCTTATACCGACCTACAGGCAGAATCTGAAATTAGCTAAACCTGTATTAAGGACTGTAAAAATATGGACTAATGAAGCAGAGCGGGATTTACAAGCCTGTTTCGACCTCACAGGTTTTCAGAAAGAACAAGAGAAGAAAGGCACTAGGCCCAGACAGTGTCACACCAGCCTGTCTGAAAACCTGTGCTGACGAGCTGGCCCCCATCTTCACACAGATCTTCAACCAATCACTGGAGCTGTGCGAAGTCCCCTTATGCTTCAAACGCTCCACCATCATCCCCGTCCCAAAGAAACCCAAAACTACTGGACTTAATGACTACAGACCTGTGACTCCAACGTCTGTGGCCATGAAATCATTTGAAATACTTTTTTTGGTTTTGGCTTATCTGAAGGACATCACTGGACCCTTACTGGACCCCCTGCAGTTTGCCTACCGAGCAAACAGGTCTGT